TACAGTGATAGGCAGAGGACAGAAACTTCATACATGGTTCCTTATCCTATGGTAGGGCTACATTCTAGTAATGGAGATGTATTTCACATTGAAAATAGCTGGGCCCTGACCATTATTTTATACCCACCTAGTGAATGGTGGGACTTACAATTTGTTTACTATGCCTGCAGAGGTCTAAACTGCAGGGTAACGCTCTGTGGGCCTCTGTGTATTGGATGCAGTGCCTTTACCCTTCAAATGGGAACATTTTCCCCCTTCCCCTTGGGTACCTGTGCGACCCACATCATCTCATTCATTCATTCTTCAGTTCTACATCATTTCATGGCACACTGTGCAACTTGAAGTATTAAAAGTAACATTAAAGTCACAATCCCCCCCCTCCAAAAACATTGGCGCCTTTAATGTCACTTTATCTAAATGGTTGATATGGTACTATCTGAAATCAGGGAACATTAAACTCATGTGAAACAGCACCTCTACTCTTATGAAAGTGCACAAGTGTCCCGACAATGGCCACTAAACTATTTCTATATTAGTGGCCAGTGCCTCTGTAGTGAACTTTGAAGATAAATTTCTCCATAATGCCTATAACTATAGAAGTGATTGAAGGCATGTTTGAAAGCGTTTTAATGCTTGTTCGGAATACGTAAATACTTTAATGTGCATAATCTGGGCACATGCTCACTTAAAAGCCAACTCCTAGGAAATTATTTTTACCTTGCAATGGGGCTGCCCTTGCACTGCTCATTTATGCCTAGGGGACAGGAAAAAGCCGTAGTACTTACCTGATCCCCGCCAATCTGGCAGTCAGTGCTGTCTTTTTCTCCCCCTCCACTCTGGCTGTCCTTCCTTGTCCTCAAATCCAATAAAGGGCTTTTAAAGCCTGCATTGTACTTGATGATGTTCGTGATCTTTAAGCTGGCCATACACGGTTATAATTTTCTTTGTTCAACCTGCGGACTGAATGAAGAAAACAGATTCCTACATCCACGTTTGTAAGCGTGGGCCGGATTTACTGTCTCTGCTGCCCCAAGGAGAGGTTCCTCAATGCGCCCCCCTACCCGCCAAACCTCCCTCCCATGGAGAATGGCAGACCTGCAGGTTGCATACATCGCCGAGATCACTTGTATAAAACAAGCGGCTAATTCCCCGCTGTACATTAAGGTCTGCTTGCCCAAAGCAGGGCTAAATGTAGAAAACAGCTACACGCCCGGCGCCCGGAACTGCATGTCCAGGGCATCGGGAGATAGGAATTCCACACCCCTGCTGCCCCTCTACTGCCTGCTGCCCCAAGGCAGGGCCTTGGTTGGCCTTGTGGGAAATCCGGCCCTGGATGTACTTTCCTAGTATGTGTATGGTCATGTACTAAGCACACCCCCAGCAAACATATCACAGGGGGGACAATAGCACCTACACCCCATTTGATGTACATGTGTGCCTTTACAAGGGCATTAATGGCAATAAAATACATATTAATACATTAACAAAGTGTGTTGAATTCATCCCATTTCATAAAAAAATCATGATCTAGTTGCTATTCTGTGCTCATGTATATATGTTTTATTATATTTTTTTTCCTGAGTAAGTGAATGAGATAAATGGTATCATTATATGGATGAAGATAGACTGCTAGCCGGTCTTAAGGCTTGTTCTGTGCTAGTTCTCATTGATTGCCATTTCAAATATTCTTCCCCTCGGAGGCCTTTTTTGGGTCCTTTTATTTCATTCTAACAATACCGCTTTGTTATTACACTGTTTTTTTCTTTCTTGCGTTGACTGAGCAATATTTATTTTTTCCTCCGGTTGCTAAGCTACCAGACATCCTATGTCACTGAGTATCAAACAGTAAAATGATCGATGCACTTCATATCACCTTTTCCTGTTTACACTCATCATTTACATGACACAGCATGGGGATTAATGAGAGATGGCCTCGTATATCCCCTCGCAGTACATTTTGCAGATTAGGAGGACAGTGGTACTTAAAGGGAAAGTATGGGGTATTTTCAGTGAGCACATATTATTGCAACATTTACCTTAATACGCAACAAATATATGCAGCATCACAGAGGTGGCCTTTTTCCATGGCCCCACATGTTTGTGCTGGAATTGTCCTCCATGGTGTGCACCCAGCACTGAGACCGAGCTGTCACCAACAGGTCCTGGTCTCAAACCAAAGATCGGAAGCTGGAGGGGGACCGGGTCCCGATCATGTGACCACTGTGACAGACAATCAACATGTTCACAGTTAATGACAGCTTCCCTGTACAGTTTATCCAGGGGTGTCCCTAGCATATTCGCCGCCTGAGTTGGGGGGGTTGCACGTTCAGGGAGGGGGGGTGATGGATCATCTTACTGGCATCCCGCCCAACTCACTGACATCACTGGCTGCCAGGAGCTAGGTGTGTCGCCAGCTAGAGTGTCCCAGGTTGCCAAGTGTCAGGGTACCATGCACAGGCGTCCTCACACCACATGCAGGATGACCAAATTAATATGCCCACACAGGATTGGGTTCTATGCACAGTTTATTTGTTACCATCAAACAAAACTACTAACCCCCTCAACCCCCCACAGGTTTAGCAGTGAAGTAACAAGGAGGGTTAACAGGAGGGCAGCACGGTACAGAAACAGGATCCAAGAAGAGTGGTCGGGTAACAAGCCGGGTCGGTGACAGGTCTGCAGCTAGGAAGCTGGGTTCAGGAATCAGGCAAGTGCAGGCGACGCAATACTGAGCCAGCTTCCTGACTGCAGGGAGGGCCTAAATACCCTCCCAGGAAGCACCAGGTGATGGGATGATCACTCACAGCTGGGGCACACCCGCAGGTGAGTACTGGAGCTGCAGGTTCCTTACAGTCCCTGGCTGCTGGAGACCCCCGCAGGCGAGCACAGGAACTGCAGGACCTGGCTCCGGCGCCACCTGGGGGTGCTCTGGATCCTGACACCAAGAGCTGAGTTGGGAGATGTGTATGTCCCTTACACATCTCCCTAACTAGCTCTTGCGAACCTAGGACGCTCTGGCCGTAAAGGGGGCGACAAAGATTATGCAGCAGAACAGCCATGCTTACTTTGCCTGCAGCCCACCACGTGACCCAAAGAGAAGCCACCTGTGGCAACAGTCTCAGGCTGCCTGATTATAAGGACAGCTTTGTATTACTTCTCTGTGAGGAGACAACAATACATTTTATCTTTCTCCTCACTGAGGCCTGGGTTTCCCACAGCAAGAACCTACAGTTTCTTGCAGCAGGAATCCTAGGTGTCCTGTTCAGATGTTGCCACTGTACCCATCAAAGGCAATGACTGGGTGGCAGCAGCTGTCCGCATGTAATTGTACATGGTATAATCATATCATTTGGTTTGGGATAGATCATTGTTCATGGATGTATCTATCCTGCGTCCATGGACAATCATCTATTCCAAATCACATGTACCATGCTCAATTGCATGCAGACTACCACTGTCACCTAGTCATTTACTTCAATGGATACAGAGTTCAAATCTGAACAGGACACTCGGTATTCCTGCCGCAGGAATCTGTAGGTTCTTGCTGCGGGAATCCCAGAATGCCCCGTGTGAATGGGGTATAAGACCTCATTCACACGAGGCATGCTGCTTTGTACAGCATGAAGGGCTGGTTGTTGATGCCCCTGGAGCTGAAAGGAAGAAGCATGCAAGCAGCTCATTTAACTCTATATAGACACAGGAGCTGTCGCCCTCACTCGCTGATTTCCATAGCTCTGAGTTTTGACAGCCGCACACAGACAATGTACAGCCTAGGACGCATACATGATGGATCCAGGTCTGTACACGGTCTATGTGCAGCTTTAAAAACTCAGAGCTGCAGGAATCAGCGTGTGAGGGTTCACAGCTCCTGCGTCTTTATAGAGTTACAGGAGATGTCTTCACACTTCTTCTCGCAGCTCCAGGTGCATCAACAACCAGCCCTTCACGCTGTACAGAGCAACACGCTCCATGTGAATGAGGCCTAAAGGAGAAGTCTGAAGTAAAATAAATGTCTGTTAAAAAATAAAGATTAAATAGTTAAAGGATTGGTCTAGGTTAGTGTTAGCATGAAGGTCATCAACAGTTTAACTGTTTGTGTTTAGGTAGGATAAAAACACAAAACAAGCACTATTGTTAATTTTTTTGTTCTTTGTACCTACTTTAGGTGAAAAGAACAAATAATGCACACATATGTGTTGAACGTCAGGAGTAGGAAAATTTATTTGGGAGGGGGGGGGTGTTTGGTGGTGGGTTATGGTAATGACATGAAAATATACAGCTAAATTAAAGAAAAACATTGTTTTACCATTTTGGATCAGTTTGTTGTAAAAAGAAAAAAATCAGGATATATCCATTAATATTTACCACCAAATGAAGGGCCAAATTGTCCTGAGAAATACAATGTATAATTCACCTAAATACTCTATGGGGTGTTTTAAAAAAATCTGCAGAGCCATATTCCCTGCACATTTATTTTGTGCAGATAGAGGCAAAAACTTAGTATATTTTATTTTCGGGTTGAATGTAATATCCATTTACGCAGAACGAATGATTTTTTTTATAAATACACCCCTAATTAGTTGCAAAGATATGCACAGTTTTACTAACACATACCAAAGTTTGCTTTAGGGGTTAAGGTTTGTTTAACTTCCATCATTAAGACGTTAAAGTAACTTTTGATTTGATGATAGCCTTTTCTTTTTTTAATGCTTGTTACATATTTTCATTAAAGTATATGAATAGCCAGAACTTTTTTTTTTTTTTGTAAGTTTTGGATTGTAATGAACTGTAGAAGGGTTAGCACCACTGTCAACTTATTGTTAGTGCATTGGGCTGCAAATGACAATAAAGCGCACTTCAACGCACTGACGAGAGCCTTGCATTGATGCATGTTACTGCAACACACAGGTCTAAATGGGGCCCTAGATGACATATAGCTATGAGCTAATTCTAGAAAAGGACACTTTTGTTTTATATGTTCATCTCTGTCATACCTACAGGCTGGGAAGGCTCACAGACTCAGCGGGGAAGAACGAGATCAGCTCTTACCTAACCTCAGGGCAGTTGGATGGAATGAGCTGGATGGGAGAGATGCGATTTACAAAGAATTCCATTTCAAGGATTTTAATCGGGTAAGCAAGACAAACAAATTCCATTAAATGCTATAAATGCTTCTATAAAAAATCGAATGAATTATCTACAAGTTCATTTTTAATGTCACAACGCTGTGTGATTTTACCTCTTGCTGGTAGTCCTTTCATTTAAAACTCTTTGACTTCATTGTGCTGCCAACTACATTACTGCCAACAAGAGGTTAAATTGTTCTGAGTTTATTCTTAAACTGTAAGTAAATTCATCCAAATGACATTGCGGGGGGAAAAAAATTGTGCATGCATTCACTGCGGCGCACAACAGCCAGGAGGTGCGTTGTGTGCCATTCAAATAAATGTCAATAAAACGCACCTAGCGCACAGTAGTGCAGGCTAGTTGTGTGATAGCTTGTGTAAATCGCACAGTATCGTGTGATTGATGGTAGTCTTAGGTGTGAATGGGCCCTAAGAGCCATGTCAGCCAGGCGATTTATATACAGTGATCTTCTCCCTCCTTTTTTTGTTTGTAAGCTATTTCTCGCCTAAATCTTTGTTATTTTCTATAGAATCCCAAACTCTCTACTTTTAAAGAAATTTGTAGCTCAGTCACTCTGCAGTGTTTCATGTCAGCAGAAAGCTCGCCATTAACAATCTCAATATTCACCTCTGTGGCTTAGCTACTAATTGCAGACACTACGGCTGGCCATACACTGATCTTTTTTTCTCGTTCAGCGCACGGCCTGAACGAGAAAAATAGACAAGATTCCTCCATCAACACTAACAGCGTGTCGATCGAGGAATTCCGCTGTCACAATACCAGAACAGAGCCAGCGGCTCATTGGCTGCCAGCTATGATCATACGAAGATTTTCCGACCAGCTTCTTTGATCAGCTGATCAAGGGATATGGACCGTAAAGGTGCCGACAGCGGCACACTGTGCGAATTTCAGACCGCTTCCTCAAAAACCAGTCGAAATTCGCTCAGTGTATGGGCACCATAAGGTAATGATAGAACAAGGGTTTGACTTGTTTGTCACAATTTGTAGCAGCGAATGTTTAGAATCGCCTGTCTGACATGACCCTAATGGAAAACAGGAACCATTTGCTCCCAAGTGAAGAGATTTTACAGCATGTCAGATAATCTTCTCTTACATGGTAAGAGGAGGAAGTCAGTGAAAATCAATATCTTCCGTACGGGATATCTTCCAGTAGATTGTGTAATGTATCCGTTGTCTGTTCAGTGTGATACTCAAGACTTTTGTCTTGCGAGTGTTGTAAAGTAAGATCGGCAGTGATCTCTCGATCATGTTAAAAACCAGCCGAAAATCGTACGATTCTCGCCTGGTTTCCCTACATGCTCGATATACAAAAGTCGTTTCTATTGTACGGTCACACGCCTTCCATACACTGACTGCACGATTCTCGTACGAGAATTGTGCAGTGTATGGGAACCTTAAGATGTGAAGTCTTTTTGTGTCTTGAAAAAGTGTTTGCTAATATCCCTAGGAAACCCAGACCTGGATCGTCCATTGCAGCCGAGACCAGTGGCTGGATGAATTAATTTACACCAATATAGCCACAGCAGAGTATTGTACCAGGATACCCATTGATTAGTGCAGAACGTTAGGTGTTTAAGTTATACTCTTTATTGGCTGACTTAAAAGCACGTCTCCAGGCAAGCAAAAAAAAAGAAGCCTTGCAGTGGGGCTACCTCTGCACTGCAAGAGTGGAGTGATTTTTTTTTCTAGGGGACTGGAGTAAACCAGGTTTACTTACCTGAATCCCACTCCCCTCGGTGGTCAGTGGTCTCTTCTTTTCACCTCTGCTGTCGCTGGTGGAATGTCGCTTGGCATCCCCATGCCTAATATAGGCCTATAGAACCTGCATTAGACGTAATGGGGGTCAGTGGCCCTTAGACTGCAGAAGCAAAGAGGCTGCAGGGTCTGTGCTAACAGCGCGGAGAGAACCGACGGTAGCGGAAATGAAGTAAATCTATTTTACTCCAGCCTCTGGACAAAAACAAGTGTGGGGGTAGACCCACTGCATGGGTACTTTTGTTGTTTTCCCGGAAATAGGCTTTAATTTGTTAAAGATGCAACTCTGATCTATAGCTGACCAATATAGCCATAATAAAACGTTTGCTATGGATACAACTACACTTTTCCTTTGATAAATGCTCTCTACTATTTCACACAGACACACTGAGCGAGTGTAATGTTGGCTGTGTCCTTCATGGTCCAGCGTGACTCAATACATATACCTGTATGTTCCAATGCACAATTCATTTATTTCATTGCAGGCCTTTGGATTCATGACCCGAGTAGCCCTACAGGCTGAAAAATTAGATCACCATCCTGAATGGTTCAATGTCTATAACAAGGTAAATAAGTCAGCACAAATCGGTTCTAAAATATGTTTCACTTCAAAGTACGTGTTCTACTTTAAAGTGTAACTCCATTCTATTTGAAAGAAGATGATTCCTATGCATTTTATGTACTGCTCTAGTATGTTGGTATGTCCAGTCTTACCCCTGGTTCACACTGGCAGCTCATAAACCATTGTAGGCAATGGAAAAATGTGCAACGTGCTTCTGTTGCGCATTTTTGGGCATTTCTAATGAAGAAATAAATAACTGCCCAAAGAAGCTCCTGTATCTTTTCAGGCGTCTGGCGTCTGGCGTTTTCCTGCTCAGGTGTGAACCAGGGGCATTGAAAATCATGGGATTTCTTGTGTTGGGCAGTTAAAAGGGCTATTTCGAACTGCTCAAAAAACTCCTCTGCCTGAACAATCTAATTGGATGTAGGCATTTTTCAGGTGTTTTGAGAGCCAGTGGGGCCGACCAGCAATATACTGAAGCTTGGCCCAGTGGGAAGTTCCTCCATCCACACAGTTTAGGGTAGTAGGAGAAATCTGTTGCACTTTTTCCATCTGACAATAGAAACTCTGCAGGTGTATAGCCAGCTTAAGCTCCAAGTTTTAACCCCTCAAATGCCATCAGGTTTCTTGATTTCAAACAGTGGAAAAAATTAGATCACCTTGGGCTGTATACTTCTCATAAAGGGGTCATTGGGGGGTTTGCATACTGTCCTTGGAGTATGACCAGCTTTAGGGTCATACTCATCTCCCCTCCCAGCTCTTAGCAACCTGGGATGCTCTGGCTGGCGTCCCACTCAGCTCCTGGCAACCAGTGACTTTAGTATGCTCTGCCGGATTCTGGCCAGGGCTAGGAGGTGCACCACCAGAATGTCGGCCAGAGTGCCAGTAGCGTGCACCACCAGCATCCCATCAACCCCGGAAAGTGACCCCTGGGTGTGCTGCTGTCAGAATACCTCAGCAGTGAGTGCACCTGATTGGCTGCAGTCACCGTTTGGCTGAGAAGTTTCTGCCCGGATCTGATCAAGCAGGAGGCTGCTGACAGGGCCACCCACTGAGCAAATTTCTTGCCCACTAAGGGAAAGTTGCATATTGTATGGCCAGTTTAATCGGCAGCATAATGCCCAGTTTCTTTAACCCAAGTTGAGTGCTTTATTCCAGCCAAATATTACACAAACAGTTCAGACATCCAGCCATTAAAGCAAGGGTCAGTCAACAAAGCAAAGTTCTACTCAACTGAGCCCTTGTAGAAGCAAAGTCCTGTGCTCCAGGTAATGTCCCTTGCAGGAGCAGCCACAGTCCCACAACAGGTATCCCTCTGGCAGACTTGGATCCAAAAGTCTTTGTAGTTCACATCACAATGCCGGTCTCTATTTGGGCGGACACTCTCTCCGACACACAGCTGGGGCTAGCTGTCCTAATGAGAACCTGCCAGGCAACCAATAAAATGTGGTCCACGGAAATTGGAGGGCTCCCCTCGAGGAAACCAGGACTCCCAGTAAAATCAGCCCCAGTTCATATTTTTTAAAACACAGGGTAAAAAAATATATTCCCTTACCTTTGGTCTTTGTGGCTATACCTTAAAGCAGATGTAAACTGCCAACACAACATTCATATATATGCCCCCAGGAGGTGTTTGCCATAATTTGCTAGTATGGACAGCATATTAGCACATTATGGCAGACTTACCTTGCAGGTGATCCCCTCCAATGCTGCAATGTCAGTGCTCTACTTGTTTGCTGGCATTTCAATTTTCTTCCGGTCTTCCCTCAAGTTCGGCATCTTTATTGGCTGGGCCAGGATGATATAAATCACATGTACATGAGCATTAGTTCATCTCGGCACAGAATCTTGAGTTGCGCGTGTGCGTCTCAGTGTACACAAATGCTGCCATTCATGAAGACATACAAAATCTCTTCTTGCATTATAACCTGTCAGCATTGTTTTTTAAATGGGACTTTACATCTAGTTTAAAGCAGGTATTTAAAAAAACTGTGCAGGAACATACCTTCCCATCAAATACTTTTCTTGCCAACCCATCAAGTTTTACATATACCCTGTTACAGTATATACATGATATGAATACATTTTGAGACTTCAGTGAGTTCAGCGTAGTGCCCTTTAACTTTTAATGTGACATATAAGCTTGTACTTACTCCTAACATGCTGTTTCCTGCATCAGTCAATCATATGCATGTGATCTATACAGGAAAGCTATTGCGGATGTTAAATGATACTCTATTGCACAGGTTTTGCTAAACTTTGTTGTAATACAGGTTAATGGAGACTGAATTTTGGCATATTGTCCTGGCGTAGCAATAAAATGTGTCTAATATGTTTTGTTTGTAGGTTCATATCACTTTGAGCACTCATGAATGCGGCGGTTTATCAGAAAGAGACATCAATCTGGCCAGCTATATTGAACAGGTTGCCAATACCTTGTCCTAACAATAGGCGGCAGCATTGTTATGCAGCCAGATGTCCAAATAATTCAACTCCTCTGTGTTTCATTGGTGATGTGAATGATAGGAATGGCGATTAATTTCCTGAGCCTTCAGCTACAAGCGTCTCCAATTCATATAAGGGAATCAAGTGGAAGAAGAAAGAATTCCCCAATGAATATTATTTCTGCTGACACACTGCCATAGGCCAGCCTATCATTGTTCTAAACTTTTCATGTACTTTAGCCCTCTATTGCATTTATAACTTCATACAGTACTTAAATGTAATAATCCATCAACAGTATTAGACATTTTATAGAATAAATTATGAGCTATTGTTTTTATCCAACGTAATGTGAAAGTCGATTTCTTTCTAATTGTGTGCTGTGTGAGAATGATCCTGCTTCTATGTATAGTCACAATCTCTTGAAACATTGCTCTGGTACATAGAGTACAATAACATAACCATAACTTACACATGTTTGTGAAGATTACATTCATCCAAGTCATGTGTAACTGGTAGTAGTAGTAGATAGTCTCATTCAACTGGACTTGATTTGTAACACTGAAGATATTTTGTAGCTTAGCATCCACAAGGTCAAGCAAAAACACAGGATCATCGAGCAAAGTAGAGAAGCAGAAAAAAGAATAAAATATAGTCATCCCATAGGTAGCTGAATTGTTGTAACAATTCTTTAGCAAATATTGCATCCAGGGATGCACAGATACCGGTTTTCCCGGTAACGAGTACCAATATTTTGCTGTTGGTACTTGCCGATAACGAGTACCGATACTGGTGCTTCCGCTGGCATGGCACCGGCTTCCTGGGCAATTAGGAAGCCAGCTTCATGTTGTTAGGCTGGCTCGATTGTGATTGGCCTGGAAACCGGCTTCCCAGCCAATCATCATGAAACCGGCTTCCCGGCCAATCCAGGGAGGCGGGACATTACTCGCCACCCAGCTTATTGATTGCATAGGAAGCCGGCTCCATATTCCCCCATTTCAGGGAAGGTATCAGAGAATTTGGGCGAGTACGAGTACTAATATCGGCATTGGTGCATCCCTTTGTCTTTCAAGCCCATCAATACACTGAAACAGGAGCATGTACAGGTGAAACTCGAATAATTAGAATATCGTGCAAAAGTAATTGCAGTAAGTGCTGCAAAAGGGGCCCAAACCAAGTACTGAGTACATATGCATGCTTGTACTTTTCAGAGGTCCGATATTGTTCTATGTACAATCCTTGTTTTATTGATTGCATGTAATCTACTTTTTTGAGGTTGTGGATTTGGGGTTCTTGGGGTTTTCATGAGCTGTAAGCCATAATCATCACAATTATGACAAATCACGGCTTGAATTATCTTGCTTTGCATGTAATGAGTCTATCTCATATATTAGTTTCACCTTTTAAGTTGCATTAGTGAAATAAATGAACTTTGCACGATATTCTAATTATTCGAGTTTCACCTGTACAAACCAAAAGACCCGACTCCCAAACACAAGTGAAGTAACTTGGTATATGGAGTGCAGTAAGGAATGCAAAGACCAGTACAGCAGGGAGACGAAGCAACCTCTCAACAAGCAAATGACCAAACATAGGAATGCTAATTCAAGACTCCACAGTTTTCCCACGCCTTCAGGAAAAAGGACTTTAATCTGAACACAGTAAGTGTACATTTTGGACAGAGTGGACAACGTTCACATGAGGTGTGAAAGAGGCCATTATTTCAAACAACCATCCTTGTACCAGGGTGGTGGCCTTACATCCCATCTCTCTTCCATATAGAATGCCATTTTAACATCTTCACCCCAACATTTTGACAATTTACACCTTCCTCCATGTGAATCAAAGGTTTAACATCTATACAGATACCCAGACACAAAGGATGGGATTGTGTAACTATAGCAGGGTGCTTCCAGAACTTCCATACCTCTCACCATGTTCTTGGTCAATAATATGTGCCTTTCCCTGCTGATTGGATTAAGGTGTCTGTGCTTCCTGTCTAGATATAAATACTGGGGTATTTTCCCGACAATCAGAACTAAAGTGGCTTGGATAAGCTACAAAACATCTTTAACATTACAGAACATATTCAGTAGAATGTGAGCAACTACTACTAGCTATATAGTCATCGCTCACATTCTGAATTCGGCTCCTCACCTAGTCTGTGTCCCAGGTGCATCTCCATTTCAAACAATAAAAGTTCAAAAATGCCACACTCCACAGGATCCAGAGGTTAACGGGGTTGAGGATCAATGAGGGGAGTTTTTGAACAGTGTGTGTTTTGCTCCATGAATAAAGACTTTTATTTTATGGTAAAAGATCCCGTGGAGTCCGGCATTTTGGAACTTTACTACTTACATATAGCAGGTTTAAAAACATAAGCCTGCAACAGGGTTTATAAACATCCTGATCCCTCTTTGGCTACTTGTATAGTTATGTATCTAGGACACTTATACTGAAGCTGGCCATATAGATAATTTGCAGATGTCTATATACCTATGCTAAACTGTGTGGATGGAGGAATCTCCCATTGGGCCAAGCTTCAGTATCTTGCTAGTCGGGTCACGCTGGTTGTTAAAATACCTGAACAATCTGATTGGATGCAGGCATTGTTCAGATATACTTTTTAGTTACACTGGTAAGTGTTGCAGTAAAGGTTAAAACACCTCATTCCTTTAGTACAAGGTAGAGTCGGACCTCTCTCTCAGGTCCCCCATACACTGCTCCAATCTACAGTGCTGCCTTCCTGTGCAAACACTTCCCACATTACCTGTACAGAACTCACTCATTTTACAGACAAAAGAAAAAAGTCACGACTGAAAAGTAGTAATTTTATTCAAGGATCACATTACAATACAATTATCAGCCACCTACAAGGTGATACAAGGCACTTAATTTTTTTTTAGTTCAGTTTTATTGACTCCATAATGAACATGGTCTTGGGCAAGGATAAGACTAGACATGACTGTTGTCCAAAGTGCCACTACATGAACATGTGACTAGTTAACAGTACAAGTGCACAGACAGTTAGGTTTAGTTTGTGCTGCAGACATAATTATCTCTGACATGGCACTTTCTAAAGAAACAAATATCCCTCACATTCAGTTGTAGACATCCATTACAGCAGGGTTAGGCAACCTTGGTACTCCAGCTTTTCTGGAAATACAAGTCTCATAAAGGCATTGCAAGACTCTGCACAGGCATGTCTCCCATATGCATGATGTGATTTATAGTGTCACCACAGCTGGACTGCCAAAGTTGCCTATCTCTGTGTCTGTTTAGCTCAAAACAATACAAGCCTACAATATATAGAAACTCTAATTCATCTTCAGACAATTGTAAAGGTAACACAACCAATCCATTAAAAAAAAATAATAAAACATCTGACATACAGAACGAATAAAAGATAGACTTGTAGTACAAATGATCCCCTTTCATCCTAGCCAGCATAACCTTAGTGGACTTTCATCCATGAAGAGAAGTTATGAACCGCTGGCCACATCTATTAGCTGAGGTGGTAGGGAGATATATGTGGAAAAACACACCCATGTATGGAAGCAATGTGCATCTGAGGATAACCATACAGCCAGGAACATTCACTTAGTGAGAATCAGACCCTTCCATTCATAATGCACATACCGTAGCTGTATTCAATACAGGTCACATGATCACTGCAGTCACAAAATAGGAATATTAAAATGCCCCAAATTTTCAACATGTCCATCTTCACTTGTATTCAACTATTTGTGCCTGTTATCCCTTGCAGTTGTGTTACTCCATACAATGTCTGACCGTTGCATGAAGGAGCTCATTTTTTTAAATTCAATTATTATTTTTAATGAATTATGCATATCATTGTTGAAAGCATTATCTATATAGATCCCAACTACTGCCACAACTTTTATCTTTTGTTTAGTTTTAGACAGAGTGGGGAAAGGCTAGAATAGCCGTCCACAACCTTTTTCCCCAGAGGAACCCTTGAAATATTGCTTAGGTCTTAGGGAACCCCTGCTAAAACCAATTCATTGGGGGTGGGGGGGTCAGTGTGAAACATGTCCCCTACACTGGTGGCCAGTGGTTGTAAGAATGCTACCCTTACAGGCAGCTAAAATGATCATTGGGGTCATGCAGCTGACCCTGCCAAGTGGAATTGGCCTTGGAACTATGCAGGCACCATCAAATGGGAGATCAACCAGCCACAGTTCAAGGAACCCCAAGCAGCCTTTGGAGGAACCCAGGTTGAGAATGGCTGGGCTAAAACCTCAGTCAGGAGAAATCTCCAGTGGAGACTTGGAAAGCAGTAAAAACCTCACTTCCTCCCTCAGTCAACATACAAGTGATTACAAGTACCTCTCCAACAGCAAGAAAGGACACTTAAATAAGTTCTTAATGTTCCCTACTCTACTTTCTCTGTGTAACTGTCCTGGTGACCACACATGAATGTCCCAACCCATCTCCACTCCATTCAAAACTAAACATTTTGGTTACAGTTGGGCTTTCAGACATCATTTTTATTTGCTATAAACAAAATAAAACATTGCTCATCAACAAATGTCATGTTATGTACCCGAGGACAAACAGTCAAACTAGGTTAGATTGTTGAGCATTCACAGTGACTGGGTAAACAAAACTATATTAGATAAGTCGGTCAAAAGAAATATGAATTCAAAGAACCTATCAAAAAAAGTCAGAGAAGAAAACCGTTATCTCATGGTAAAACATTGAACTTCGCCTAGAAGAATACTAAGTGCACTTACATATAGCTACTTAGGGGGTAGCTATGCAGTTTCAATGCATGCCTGTATCTAATTCTGATAAACTAACAAATGAACAGTGCCTAGAACAATGTGCACATTGATGGTACTTCCAGCAGGCAGGAGTAAATACTTTAGTGTGAAAGTGGTTATTATAGGCATTATGGGACACTAAGTTATTGAATTTAGACATTAGCATGCATTGCAGGGGTTTCTTACTCTCTACACAAACAAATGTGGATTTCTTTCTTGGGACGCCAGTGTTCTCACTCTTCAAAAACATCCATGGCGTCAGTCCATCTACCCCAGGGTGATAATATAGCTCAACAACTTAAAGTGAAGGGGCAAACAAGTCTTAAAAAGGTCAGGCCCTGAGTGATCAGAAGTATTGCTGGGTCAGCTTCACCTCAACTGATCTAAACCAGCACACTGAGGAAAGCAGAGAAAACTGCTAGCTGACGTCATTTAAGACTGGTAAGGTTTTCTATTCCTTTACAGAAAGTAAAAACACTTTGTGTAAATTTCTAGCGCTAGACGTAGGCACACAAAAAAGGCAATATGGTATAAATGATACTAATAACAGGTTACAGACTGGTCATTTCAGCTGTCATTTTGTCAATGAACAGGAGACCAAATCAAGAATGAAGTGGGAATGTCTGCAATGGGTCAGTTAAAGGATAACTGCATTCAAGCAACAATTTTTGGTATATTTTCACGTAAGGTGTGTACAGCGATAGCTCATAAAGCATAAATTCCAGTATAAAACTAGATAGCCAGCAGCGCCTATAGCCTTCGCAACTAGGAAGCGGCTTAGGGCTCCTCACTGTTGCCAGATCCTAGTATGCAGCTAGATACAGCAACAAGAGGTCCATGATGTGTTGTGCATTCTTCTCTCCCAATATCATAAGTGCATTCTGGAGGAGAGGGGTAAGGAGACCAAAGCCACTTGCTGGTTTACCAAAAAAAAGAACCCCCCCCAAAACAAGCCAGTCCTGAACTAGCATTTATGTTTCATGCCCTAATCCCATATTACATGTTAGGACAGTGACTTTTCATCTGCAACTGCAGTTATCTTTTAGATGAGAGGATGCAGACAGCAGAAATGACGGACAACAGCCAACCTGCAGTGTATGACTTGAATACAGACCAGATCTAACAGTCATCTTTCAGGCACTGGGGGAATGAGGGCTTGGATACAGGGTCCAGCATATTTTGGGACAAGATTGTGATAGATAATGAGTATTATCAGGCAAGTTAAGCATTGTCACACATCTCCTGCTAAAGCAGCCATATGCTATACGTGAAGATGCATATTACCGGCACTGGGGCAGCTGAAATGTGACTATTTCTGGAATGCCACTTTAATACCATTATATTCATCACCCTGTATTGAACAAATTGAAACATATTTTGTTTATTTAGAGGAAGAAGCTTCATTGTTCCCATTCAGACAGAAACTAAACTGTAAGTTAAAGGACTGAGTCTTAGAAATGGCAAATAATAAGGGTCAGTGTTGTTTTCAATCCGTTCTGGGTAACTGTCCGAGGGCTGATTCGCAGGCTTTCTATTTTTCTCTGTCAGTGTGATTGCTGTACTTTCTTTCCAGTATCATTCTCTGGTGTAGCCATATAAGTGATACCTCATGTGCCCTAACTCATAGAGAACGCCAATGGAGTGATCATCCCTCGGCTGCAGCAGGAAGAGTGAAACGCCTTGCGAGGGCAGAGGCAGGAATCCTTGCAAGAATATTCCTCTACTACCATTCCTGTACATAATAAGCTTGCGAGTGACTTAAAGCACCATTATCCACCCATTCTATGACCTCTCATGTGGGTGGACTGCTACATTTTCCCCAGTATTTAAAAACTTGTATTTGATAACAAGAATTCTAGTTACCTGAAGAAATATATGAATGTTATCTCCATTATGACTTTATTCCTGTAATAAAAGCTACTACAGCTAGAAATAACTTTTTTTGTAAATAAAGCACACAGAATATCCATATATAAATACCCTGATCACTACGGTATAACAGAAGTGAAAGGTTACACATTTTAGGCTTCCCCGAATACTGGAACATGTTAATATTATTCAACAGATTTAAGAACCTGATTAAAATAAGATGAGAAATTATAATAAACATGGCTTCCTCTTATTAAGTGTCTTTTACAAGGCAAGAAGCTCAAAGATCTTAACACCAGCAGTCCAGGGCTGACATTGACAACCATCTTCAGCTCTCAGCAGACCTCCATTTTTATTTATGATGAATGGGGATTCCTGCCAAGTGCATCGAATGTCATAGAGCTGCATTGTGTCAGCAGATGGGTAGACCTTTTCTGGTATCCAGCTTTTCCTGCTTGAACCTCCATTTATCACAGAGAAGAACAGAGGTTGGCTGATAGCCAGTGAAAGCAGTCAAAGTCAGTCCAGGACTGCAGCCGTGAATATCTTGGATCTTCATCCCATTGTAAGAAGGGTCTGAGGCCGATGTTAGACAGGAACTTTGAGAATTGCATTTGACAATTAAAAAGGTTTTCATCAGGATGATGTGTGTGTGAGCTCTGTGGCACATCACACACACTTTTCCTTTCTGAATAACAGAACCGGATAGCACTGCAAATGTTAACAATCTGCTAAGAAGCTGATGTAGAATATTTTTTGGGTTGTATCTTTCCCAGCACAATTATAACAGCATACTGGGAATTACACTATAACATTTCTTATATTGTAAAGTGTTTTTCCACCTTTACAGCCAAATTTCAGAGCCCCCGCTATATGTTTATGTGTTCCAATTTGCACAGCATACCTAAAATAATTAGGAATATATATATATATTTTCATATGCTTCTAATAGCTGTTTGGTGCAACATTATACAAAGAGTTCTAGAGGCAGCTTGTATTGTTCAGAATAACAGATTTAGAGACAGACTGGTTTCAAAGTCCATTAATATACAATGTGCCATCCAAGCCTTGAGATCTTTAGCCCATTGTCAGAACAGACAATCCTGCACATCTAATTTACAACCAATAATGGAATCAGTAAAAGTACAGACAGGGGTCATTTTGGTCAACATAACTCCCTGGCCACCTCCTTAACATTAAAGGGGAAGGCTAGGAAAGCTAAGCAGTTTTGGAGTTATGCTATGTGAATATGTAATAAATATAAAGAAGCATTATCACAATTTGGCTGCAACGTTGGAAATACACTTTAAGCACCAGCTTTTATAAACTAGATCGAAACCCAAACTGCATGGCACTGTTTACAATAAACAATTGCTATTTTCTTTTCTCTTTTAGATAGTACGAAGACACTACTTTAGGACATGAACACTAGATAATACTATTTCCCATATTTTATTGCATCTCAGTTCTTCTGATCTCCTTCAGCCTTTTTTAGCCACTTCCTGACCGCATGCATAAGCTCCAAAATCGGCTACACAGCATCAGTATGGATGATCTTCCTGATGGTGACAATGGTGGGCCATGTCTGTGCAAAAAGCGTCAATGCAGCCACTTATAGTCTTTCCTAGAAGCCCACGTGAGAGGGTGATTATGCAGAAGAGCAAATGGGAGACAGGAGCAGACCACTGTCTTCCACTACCAGGAAGAGCCTGAACAAAGATCTTCATGGAAGGATCACCAGGTTTAATGTTAATGGAAGCTGAAGATTTAAAAAGATTAAAAACAACTTTTTAAATTACCTAACAGATTAGAGCTTATACGAGATTTAGATCAACTTTAAAGGATAAGTGCACTTTAAAACAAAGTGCACATATCCTTTCTGTCCCCAACTCCTGACCTAAACAATCCCGCCCTACCTCTCTACAGATTCGTACTTACTCAGATCCAATAGGCACCGTTCCTCTATTGTTTACATTGCAGTGCCACAATGCTCCCTCTGCTGGCAGCACCTGAACATTACAGCCCCATAGACTTGTAAGGGGCCATCTCCTGGCCGTGAGACAAACGCAGCCAGGAGAGGGAGACTTACAGCGGTGGATGTCAACGAGCAGCAGCCCTTGGATCTCGGTATACTTAGATCTACAGAGGGTGAGATCATTTAGGACAGGAGAAGGGTTCAAAAAGAATAAGAACAATTTGTCTAAAAGTGCATTTAAACTTTAACTCAGACAGAGTCTACCATCAACCTAATGCAGTGATTCAGCAAGTGTAAAAAAAAGTTAAACAGTACATAACAAGTATGACAGCGTGGTTTGTCGATCAGCACAATGACAAACAGAAGTATGTCAGATTTGTACACCGTAGCAGAGCAAAGATGCACTCGTACAAGGAAAATGTGCAATGCTGAATTTCTACAGTTATTACATAGCACTTTTTCTCCAAATAAATTATGTGTGTTTACCCTGAATCAGGAAAAAATTGAGAACAAGTACCTTGCACACTGGGCATACAAAAATGATCATCAAAAAATACCTGTTCCTTAAAAGGCTACAAAAGTAAATGTAATAAAAAGCAGTCTATGTGCCACCCTGCTGCCCTGGCTCCGTCGAACCATTTTGGAGAGTACCGCCCACAGGTAGTTGTGATCAGTGGTGCCCAGGTGAACCGTTTATCTGTTTGGCACTGGAAGGCATTTCAGTGAGATACAGGCAGTCGAGGAAGGCTTTGGAGATCTCGGTCACCATAGATCTGTCAGGTATTGTTTGTGCCATCCCATATATGGCCCCCTATAAAACAAAATACAAGCAAATATTAATGCAAGCTCAAGCACGTGAAAATACAACAGATGAGTAAATATTTCTAGGTAAAATGTAAAACCTAAAAACACTTTAAGCCTAAAACGGCTTACTTTGGAAATTGAAAAATAGCTCTCAACTACATACCAATGTCACTGTACTGTATTCACCTTGAGATTATTGCTTGCACAGTTATGCGGAATATTCAATTTCAATAGTACTTAAAAATCGTCTAGTAAGAGAGAATGCGCTGCCAAGAAAAGGATAGGGAAGATGGGCACTGACTTTGACAGAGGCCCTTTAAGCCCTGCCTGTCTATTTTACTAATCCTCACCCAAGCTGCAATGTGTGTCAAGTCTTGCTTTGTTTGGGGGACAAGAAAGGGGGCTTTAAGTAAACTAGAGGGTAAAACAATTTATGGGACACACCTGGTTAAGTGTCTTATGCTTTTCAGTATTTTCTCTGATGTGCCCAGCAATTCCTTAAAACAGCAACAGAAATATCACACCTTACACTCCAACAACAAGTTGTGTGCACTATGAACAGGGTGGACCAAAACTTAAACAGGACTTAAAGTCCAAGCAAAAAGTGATATGCCCATGTCGGTGATTCTTGCAGTAATAGACCCACATTGCTTACATTTGGGGGATTACACAATGCATGTCAGATTTTCAGGCTCTGTCTTTGCCATCACTGCCTTTGCAGCTAAAGTTATGGTGTCACTATCCTGCTGACTTCTCCAGAATGACAAATGAATGAATGGAGAATCTAGCAGCAAGAATGTGACGCAATCATAGCGCCCTTCATAGAAAGTAGGGATGCACCGGTTTTTGATTATCGAGTACTGATTTTATTTTTTCGGTTCTCGCCAATACCGAGTACGCCTTGTACCCCAATTATCAGGAAGTCAGACGGCAGATCATAACCCGTCACCTGTGTTCTAGCGAAAGAACAAAGGCTTCACCTGCCTGACCAATCAGGAAGCTGGCTGGCGAGTCATGAGGTGCCGTGCAGCTTCCCAATTAGTCAGGAAGCCAGGCTGCCTACCAACAAGTGAAGCTGGCTTTTTAGCCATTCAGGAAGCTGGGCGGCACATCATTACCAGTCTCCCGGCTTTCTGATTGGTTAGGAAGCTGGTTTCACTTGTTTCTAGGTAACCTGGCTTCCTGACCAATCAGAAACCCGGGAGGCTGGTCATTACGTGCCACCCGGCTTCCTGATTGGTTAGGAAGCCGGGCTGCCTAGCAACAAGTGGAGCCAACTTCCTAGCCAATCAGGAAGCCGGGAGTCAGGTCCTAACCTACCGGCCAGCTTCCTGATTGGAAAGGAAGCCAGCTCCATGCTCCCTCGGCGCTGTCGGTCAGAGGGAGATCTCCCTCTGACTGGAAGTTCCGGTATCGGAGGTAAGTATCGGAGCATTTGGGCGAGTACTAGTACTCGCCTAAATACTCAGTATCGCTGCATCCCTAATAAAAAGCCAGAGACATAAACTCCAACGGGAGATCCTGCTGCCAATATTTTTTGAGTACAGTAATTTAATCCACCCCAAACTTCCCACAAAATATACATTTCAGTTCTGGACAGATTTAGAGACAGAAACATAGTTGAAAAAAAAAAATGCAATATATTTTCTCTGCTTAACACTGAAAGCCAGCTGCACTTATGCAATGTAAATCATAATAAAGAGGGCATTGGTTACAGTTTATCCTCAATGTCAAGCAGGAAAACACTACATACCTGTATTATATGTCTAATGTTGTACTTATAAGTAAAGTCTAATATAGTTAATAAAACAATAGTTACCACTCCAGTGGTTTTGGCTCCAGGATCTTCCATGATCACCGACACAGATTCCTTAACGTCCGTTACAAAAAGTTGTGCAACTCCAGGTTTTGTGTGCAGCAGTGTAAGACATATATGAATGCTGTCATAAAAAAAGAAGAAGACTATCACAGCGGGATCAGCAATCTGAAATACTGCTTAATTGCACTCAAACATGGAAGTCACCCATAGAATTTGTTCAGTAAGGCCAACTACATGGTGCAGTAGTGACATCCAAGAAGCAACTTCCATTATTACTATAGCTTTAAACTCTTAAAACTTATGGTTAAGTAATTAAGGCATAGGGGTACTTGTATAACTAATCAGTCCACACACATTGCTAGTATAGAGATTTTGGTTCCTATGGGTGACTGTCCCTCTTTTTGTAGTTAAACGTTTCCTTGTAAAAAGAACTAGTCTGAAAATAAGCCTGTCTATGGCTTCTAAAGGCAGAATTTGCTGTAAACACATTAAAATGTTGTTTCTAAAGCTTCAAGGGCTGTTAATAATAATAATTAAGAAAACTCCTGAATCAGACATCCAGAATAAGGTACGTGTGGCCATTCTGCTTTAGGGTATACCGGTGGTCTGGACTATCCTACAGACCTGGCACTGGAATGGTATATCAGGCACCTCCACGTGTATGTTCTAAGTCTCAGTTTTATGGATCTTCTTGGAAGACCCAAAACTTGGGGGGGGGACTCTAATATACAAATGCTGACTTAATCTAGGAAGTCATTACCGGTCTCCTACAGCTGCCTTTCATCTAATCAGTGAAGCCACCAATTACAATGATGGGTCAATAATAAGCTGTGGGAAGCAAGGGGGTTTGGGGCCAAGCAATTACTTTCTAGCTGAATCAATAGGGCAACACAACTAATTAAGGGGCTGGAGGAGCAAAGCTATGAGACACGGTTGTTAAATTTAAACTTGTTCAAGCTAGAAGTGAGGCGATTATAAGGGGACATGACTTTGATGTACAAAATGTTTAGTGGTGATGGCAACATCAGCAATAAACTTTGTACAGTAAACTCCCCAACAAAGACTAGAGGCCACCACCTAAAATTGGTGGAGAAAAGATTTAATCACAAGGGGCGTAGGGGATTCTTTTCAGTTAGAGCGGGTAAAGTCTGGAACTCACTACCACAAGCAGTGGTATCTGCAAAGAATATTGAATCATTCAAAAAGCATTTAGATACCTTCCTCAGAGACCATAACATACAGGGGTACAGGTACTCTTAAAAATTAGACCACACAAACACACGCGGCCATCGTCCGCTGTCAGAATACAAAGGAAACAGCGGAGATTCCTCGATCAACGCTTGTAAGTATTAATGGAGGAATCTGTTATTTTTTTTCCGTTTAGCCTGTGGGTTGAACGAAAAAAATAAAACAGAACTGTGTATGGCCAGGTTTAGACTGGCTAGAAGTTTGCAATAATATTAGGAATCAGTAGGAACTATGCTGATGTCTGTAACCACCCCATCAAGGAATCAATAGAACTGACATATGAAGTACAGGAAGGAAAGCTACTACTGGGCTTTAGCAGCAGATTTATTTTTTTATTACTGGTCTGCTCAAAAATGGGTATGCTGAGGAGAGGAATGGCGTTCTCATTTTTTAAAACAATTCTCCCACATGTATGACTATTAGGGGCATGACGACCTTATCTACAGAAAGGTTTTCATTTTCAGAATTTTTTTATTTACTACATCAAAGTTATGATCGAACTGTATAGTCTATTTCAACACAGCAGGTAAGGAATCCAATAGATTGCCTCTTACAGTGGTGGCAATAACGCTCAGAGTCTCAAATAGTGGAATTCAGGACTAAGCATATGAGCAGGAAGCCGAATGATGTAGGTATGATAGAAGTATATGTGTTGAGAATGTAAGTGATACAAATATATGTATATATATACATATATACATACACACACACGTATATATTGTGACAGGGTATACGACTCTGTGTATGTCAGCAAGAGGTTGAAAAGGGCAACTTTCCCTGGCTGGGAAGGAGTTAAGCCTTGCCCCAACAGGTACACCTTCTCTCTATTAATTAGCCTGCACCTGATGGTGACTAAGGGGGAGAAAGAGCTCAGAGAGAGACCCATGCTGGACTGGATGGATGCATACAGACTGGAGAGCGTCTGAATATCTGTGGAATAAGGTCTGGCTAAAAACTGTATGTATTGAACATGTTAATTTATACTGGAAGCTGGAACAGCCGCTCCAGTAGGACGTAGTGAGGGACACTACAGTTAGTTAGCCTCCTAAGGTGGAGTAGGTCTTTTTATTTACGTTACTCTTGAGTTTCTGCTGGAATTCGTTTGTTTAAAAAGGGAAAACGTACCCGTTGATAAAAATAAACTTTTTATGTTAAATGCAATAAAGCCGCATTTATTGCCAATACTGATCACAGACCAGTGACTTTCTTACAATATATATATATTTATATATATACACACACACACAAACACAGCTTTTAAAAATGTACTTACCTAGATGGAAATTGAAGAGTATTCAAGTTCCAGCCCTTAGCTGTCAAAGAGTTAGACAAGCGGTAAATGTCAAAAACATTTGAACCCAGTGCAATAACAGACACCTCTGGATTCCCAAAAATAAAGATTTCCTTGACGTTTTGCAACCTTTAAAGATAAAAGCAAAAATTTGTTAAATATTGACCCCCACCAGTGAAGATCACCTACAAAAACACACTCAAGATCCACCACCAATAGCAAGTTAGCCAAGAGACGCAAATAAGCTTTCTACATAGAAATAGCCAAGAACTGCAAGAACATTTATGCAAATCACTTACACAGTTCTTTTACACAAAGGGCAATACTTTTAACGAACAAATAAAAAACTGACCGTTTAACAGTTACATTTAGGGGCCCATTTATAGAGCAGAGGAAGGCTTTTACTGTGGCTTGAAAAAAAAGCCATCTTTATAAAAGAACATTGAGGTGCCTTAAAAATCTGCATTATGCTTTGCTTGCTTTGGACTGCTAAAGCCCTGAGTGGTGGGAGGAGGCCCAGTCACATGATCTGTCAAAGTCATGTGACCTACCTCTTGGATTTATGCAGAAAACAATCTGCCCGACATCAGAGGCTCCACATATTATGGATCCAAGGAAGAAAGGTCACCAGCACTCCATATAAGCATCAGAAGATCAAGAAGTGACTTTATTTACATAATGTCGCACAGGTTATACAGCCAATGTTTTGGGACCATGCAGGGTCACTTCCTCAGGGAGACAGGTCTTATTAAATAAAACCTTTCCATTTTCATTGCATGCATTATTTTAGACCCAGTAATGTCATCACAGAGTCTCTGCTCTTCTCTTTGCAATGCAAACAGAGCATGGCTGGTGGAAGGAGCCTGCAGGGTGCTGTACATAGCTTCCTGAAAACATCATACCCCCCTGCCTCAAGCAGCGAGCTGGCTCCTGAGAGGAGTAATGCAAAAATCAAAACACCTTGATGGGTGGATGTCAGTGGGCAGGCTACATTTGCATGCAGACCGCCTAGGTAACACCCATATAAAGATGCTGATCCTTCATGATTAAAAAAAAAACTGAAGCTCAATGAATGAAAGGGGTGGGACTAGCCTCAGGGCGGCCGGGACATGCAGTTCCGGGCGGGTAGTTTTTTTTTCTATATTTAGCCCTGCTTTAGGCAAGCAGAGCTAAATGTACAGCGGGGAAGCAGCCACTCCTTTTGTACAAGTGATTTTGGCCGAAATCACTTCTATGCAGCTTGCTGGTCTGTACCCCCCCCGCAATGCGCCACCCAAATTAATAAATAGAACCTGTCACCTCCAAATACTATCACACAGGGGCGTGTTAGCTACTGTGTGATAGCAATAAAGTTAGTCCCTGCAATAAAGTAAGGTGAAAATTTTTTTTAAAAAAATTGCGAAAATTTTTAAAAAAATGTAAATAAAAATTAAAAAAATAAAGTGATAAAAAAGTAAACAATATTAAGATAAACAAAAATGTTTAAAAAAATAGACGATAAGATAAATACAAATTTAAAACAGCAAAAAAAAAAGAAAATCAACCCTGTTGCCCCTGCCATCTGGTTGCTATTCTTCACTGGGGGGTTTGTCGGGGTGGGGGGCACATTGAAGAACCAGGCTTTGGGGCAGCAGAGAGAGTAAATCCGGCCCTGTAGATAATGCTGAATGTCCTCCAACCAGGAAATGAGGCTCAGACTTACTGCAGCTTCTAATTCAGAACGAGAAGCTGAACAGTGTGCAGAGAAATAAAGCAAGCACTTTCAGTTCAGGAAAGGAGCTTGTACAACTAAGAAAGACTAGGGGTAAGGCTGGAGTTCTGCTTTAACTGACAGGATTTCTAACTATCATACCTACATTACAACTAGAAGAGATGTGTCTATACTTCTACTTTAACCACACAGTATCATTTAATATGTTGTAGCTTATCATAATTCTATATGCATCACACAATGCTGTAACATTTCAGCTGTCTTTCTCTACTGTACAGAATTTACAGACACTCCAACAGAATACAGATAGAAAAGATAAATATATGCATGCTAAAGCAATAAATCATATTTCTAGATAAAACATACTCTTTTATGATGAACCGTGCAGCAGTAATGATATTTTTAGTGGCTTCAATATATCCATCTTCTCCCATGTGCATCATTGTGGCCCAGCAAGCAGCTACTATACCACCAGGCCGAGAGCCAGCTATAGAGGGAGAGGCATAGAGGCCGCCCGGCCAGTCTGATGTTACAAAGTACTGGTAGTGCCTGTAGTCCTTCCTGCTGTACAGTATTACAGAAGAGCCTTTTGGTGCATAACCGTACTGGAATAAAATACAAGAGAGTTTATCACTTCAAGAGCTTCAACAATTTCTGAACTGTCATTTCCCTGCTTACCCAAAGGATAACTAAACCCAAGATTTTTGTTTTTACATATTGCAGCTTACCAGTCCTTATGGACCCATTAGGTCTTTTTTTTTAAACCAAGAACATTTCATCAAGTACAGAAAATGTTTGTTGATCCTTCCAAAAATGCTATATCCTTTTCACTTCCTGTAAACTAAACTAAAAGCACCCCATGTAATGAAGATTAAAAGAGGAAGGCAAGTGTGATGGGTGACAACCAAGGCTACCTCCACAGATACAGTGGAGTGAGCATAGCAACCAAGGTACAGGTAGTGTGTTATTCACAGGATTACCAGGGGAAAAGAGAGGAACAACCCTTAAAAATTAAAGCTAATGCAGTCACCATATCCAAGGACTGGTACGCTGGTATATATAACCTTTTTGTTTTTAGGTTTTGATTCACTTTAAGATTAGTGTGTCTCAGAAGATCTAAATATATGTTCAGAGTGACTGTGAACAGTAAAGACAAGCCTGCATGGTACAATCAGCATATAACACAGATTTGATATTGTATAATTGCAGAACGATTCCTCCCCATGTTTACCTTGTGGGTATCCGCCGAGATGCTGGTCACTCCGTTCACTCTGAAGTCAAATGGTGGAAGGGGGAAGCCGGCTTTCTTCATAAACACAATGAGGAAACCACCCAAGCAGGCATCCACATGAAACGGGATATTGTATTTCAGAGCCAGCTATGAAGAGAAAAGGCATTTGCTAAATGAAGCAGAGATCTTTTTATTCATGAAATGATTGCTATGTACTTTTATTACCTATTGCAGTAGGCAGACTACAGTGAGAGAGGATGTAGCAAGTCTTGAATTCTCTGCAATGTTTTACACAACTCCAAGCAGTAATTTTAGCAAGTAGAAAGCTGACTCCGTGTCCTAATACAAGTCTTTCTTACCTTGGCGACTTCTTCTACAGGGTCCACAACACCATGAGGGAACTGTGGGGTTGAACAAACCAACATGGCTGTGTTCTTTGAAATTGCTCTTCTCATGGCCTGTTACAATAAAGAGAACATAAGCACACTTAATGCATTGCAAGACCACAAGATATGATATATTATGATATTCCAGGTCACAAGGTAACTTTACATATCAGTTTATTATCTGGTTGCAATAAGTGAAATCGTGGCACGGATGCAATAGCTCAACAAAGAGGCGGCACCATCTCCACAACACAATATGTGATACAAGAGCGGTCTGTCTTCTCTACAAGGAAGGCAAGCACAACGAGGGACAGAAGAATGTTACCAACGAGAGCTTGGACCAATCAACCTGAATGAACTGTAAACGAGCGCTTTGATCAGTCAGTCTGAATGAACTGTATACTAAGAGCCTGGACCAATCAGTCTGAATGGATTGTAAACAAGGAGCCTGGACCAATCAATCAGATCCAGGGAATTAACAGATGTGCTTAGTGGATGTCTGTGTTGTGAATGGTTCTCTTTATGTTTACAGACAGATGGTGTTCGAAATGTGAGCAAAATGAATTGGCCTGCTGAAATAATTGCATTTCACTTTCAAATCTCCAATTATTGCAGAAAATATAACCTCAAAAGACACGATAATTACCTTCACATCTACTTTCATTGTCTTCTTGTCCAAGGGAATGTGTACCATCTTCATTCCAAAATAATTAGCTGCCTTGTCAAATGCTGCATGGGCACTTACAGGGGCGATGCTATCAGGAAGAAAACACAAGTAAAATGCTTGGAGCTCTGTGTATTATATAGACACACACACAACTTTGCTGCAGCAAATAACCAGAGAATCATATGGCTGCAGCTCAATATAAATAACATTGGACTTGGCCAGAACAAAGATGTGCGATTTAATGTTGACCTTCCAGCTAATTAAAAAATATGCTCTATTGAAATTCTCCCCACTCCACAATAATCAATTTCTTTAGCATTCCTCGCTTCTATTTATTTATTTTTTTACTTATTTTGTTGCTGCTTCTTTCGATCCTCACCTAGGCAAGTGTGATATGTCAGCGTCCTCCTGCAGCCTCCTGGGATACCCATGTTGTCGTATCCCAGGAGGCAACAGAGTCACAAAGAAAGAATTTGTGGGATATCTCACTGGTGCGACTAAGAGACAGAGAAAATGGAGGCTACACATGCATGACATCCAACACTT